GGCCGGGAAACAAAAGGTAGGCCAGCCCAAGGGTCAAAGTGACCAAGGACCACCCATATGGGGTGAAGCTTGGTCTGGAGTACGAGGTCTGGCGAGACAGTGTTGCACCAGGAGCTTGCCTGAACTGTGGCCAGTATGGGGACACAATGGTTAAGTGCAAAAGAAAGCAGGTCGCTACAAAGGTCGCATACTAAATAGTGACCGTTGGATCTTCCAACTCTGGTGGTGCTTCTACGAGCACTTCCCAGGGAAACACCTCGGGCCAATAGGAGTGTGTTAGTCGCTCTTACTCGTGCTGAAGTGGTAACCTTACCTTCTCCATTTCAGACGATGGCTAAGGCTGTTGACCCCATGACCGCCCCGCAGACAGATCCGGACCAATCGATGCTTTGTTTGATGGATGTGTCCGAGTCCTTAGAGGAGTTAGAAATTGAGTTGTTAAAGAAAGACCATAGAGACTCCTAGGCGATGTTGAACCGAGGTCCAAAGGGTGAACATTTCATGGTGGAAGTCAATGTAGGTGGCCGAAAGGTTGGCACCTTCGCGGACATAGATTCTACACGAAACTTCATCAGCCGTGTTTGTGTGGATAGGCTGCGCTTAGGGGACCAAGTGCAGCAGCTTAGCAGATCTGTAGCATCTACCTTAGCCAACGAGCACTCCATGGTAGTAAGAGACTATCTCAAGGATGTAGTCATCACCTTCTCCTATGGAGGAGGGGAACTGAGACAAGAACTCATTCCTAGTTAGCGACAAACCGCTATTCGACATGTTGCTAGTCATGTACTACCTCGAGGTTGCTAAGCCTCAGTTCGATTGGGATAAGAAGGTGAGGATCCACAGGTTGCCAGATGGAAGGACCGTTACGCTGCAAAAATTTTAAGGCTAGCAGACTAGTGGAGAACTATGGTTGCATGTGCGCATCGTCCTTCTATTACTACAAGCAGAATCGTGAGGGGAAGGTATGTACTTGGTCTTTGTCTCTGAGAAAGGGGAGGTTGTGAAATCACCCCTAGAGATAGAAGCAGTTGTTGCGCAATATTCAGACCTCTTTGTGGAGCCTAGGGGTGTGGTGGGAGGGGAGATCGCCCACGCGATAGAAGTCGTTCTATAGGATGTCTCCTGCGGAGTTAGATGAGCTCCGCCGCCAGCTCAATAAGCTCACAGAGAAGGTCTGGATACGGCCAAGTACGGAGCCCCAACTATGGAGCTCCAAGTAGGAGGAGGACTCTGGATACATATGTTGGTGGTGGTGAGAGTATGCTCGCGTTGACATGTGGATTCAGTGTTTTGTTTCTCCGTTGGTGGAATATCAGTGCATTACTGCTTTCTGGACAACGTTTGGACTCGCTGGCTGGACTTACACATGGTATGCTCAGACAATGAAGCAGAAGATATGCTACACTGCCTAATACACTGTAGAGACGCAACGGAGTACTGGGCAAGGGCATCGGATCTCTGGGATTCCCTCTTACCGACCCCCCCTCCCCGAACACCCCATCCAACTCTTCCTATGTACTAACATCCATGCTCACTTCCACAAGATGGAGAGGATCTGGTTTGGAATGATCAGAAAGGTAACACTCTGGTCTATATGGAAGGAAAGGTGCAGCAGAACCATTGCAGGTCTCTCAACTCCAATGAAGAAGATATGGATGAGACAAGACCAATGATTCAGGCAGAGATTCTATGTAAGAAGGCAGAAGACAAGACACTCCATGCCGGACATTGCGGATCAGCAGCAGAGAATCACGGAAAATTCCACAAAGGAGTGGCTGGCAGGCAACAAGGTAGCAGACATAAAGGATTCCCATTTCCGATGGAAAGACTGGCACAATTCAGAAGCGTGTTTGAAAAGGCAGAGATGTCAGCCTCCAGAGGAACAAGATTTATCATTGCAAAGGGCGTTCAATTTGCAAGCTCTGAGATTTTGGCTTCCTCATCTTCTAACTTTTTCTTGCTTTTTCACGATAAATAGGACAGGTTCAGAAAATTGGACTTGAGAGGAAAGGTAGATGTAAGGCAAGCTGACAGTCGATCCTCCACACCGCTGGAACAATCAATGGTGTTCAAGGGTCCTTCGGACAGACGGAAGGAAGTGTGACGGTCTTCATACTGCAATTTTGACTTCCCGGTGGAATAGGAACCGGACTGACGCTCCTCAGAATAGAAGGAGCCAGGACCATAAGGNNAAAAAAAAAAAAAAAAGGAACTGGACTCGTGCTTCCCAGAATGGACAAGGAGCCAGGGCCATAAGGACCTGTTTTCTTGGAAGAAGAAAAAAAAAAACACCAGACGAGCATCACTATAACCTCTGTTCTCTGTCAGCGTTCGCCCTGCCACGGCATCGGCGTGGTGTGCGTTCGACTTGTTAGTCTAAAACTTCTTCATTTTTCCATTTCAGATTCCCTACAGCACCATCGTCCTTCGATTTAGTCTGCCTCGGCTCAGAGAAACTCTCCTGATCCGTAAAATTTAGAGTGTTTGGAGACGAGTATTGCTGTCACTTTTCTCCTCTCTTCTGTCTGTTGCGCAAACTTTGTCCTTCATTCCTCCTAATTTCTTTTGAAAATTGATATGATTCTGCTGTGTTCTATAGTGGCTGTCATGTGGGTTTCTTGTAGGAGGACTACATCCACCATCTTTCTATTGTAGCCTTTGGGACCCAGAATGTTATCGTTCAGTGTTACCCAGTCCATTTATATCCCAACTCGCTTGTTATAATGTCTTGGGTTCTCCAACTGACCATTGGACTAACAATGGTTGCTTTGGACCTTGATGTTATCCATTACATCCCTACTTAAAGGTTAGTCAAGTCTGCTGTCACCATTCTTTCACTGCACTGTGTCCCCTGGAGGATCCTTGATACCATGGCTGCCCCGGACACGGACATCCAGACATCCAGACACCCAGACACCCAGACACAAACCCGTGTCTGGATGAAACCGGACGCCCACTTGTCCGGACATGCATCGGGACGTCCAGATGCAGACGGTCCGGTTGGATGTCTGGATGTCTGGAATCTGGATGTCCAGATGCATAAAAAAACCCAGAAAAAAAAAACACCTAAAAAACTGCTACACACACACACATCAAAGCACACAGCTGCTACACACACACACACACACACACACACACCCCACACAACTGCTGCAGCTGCAGCAGCAGGAACAGCAGCGCAACAGCTGCAGCAGCAGAAACAGCAGGTGCAGCAGCGCAACAACTGCAGCAGCAGCGGCAGCACAACAGCTGCGGCAGCAGCAACAGCAGCTGCAACAACAGCTGCACCTGGTGAGGCAACTGCAACAACAGCTGCACCTGCTGTGGCAGCTGCAACAGGAGGTGCAGCTGTTATTGCAGCTGCTGCCGCTGCAGATACAGCTGTTGCAGCTGCTGTTACTGCTGCTGCAGCTGTTGCAGCTTCTGTTCCTGCTGCTGTTGTTGCAGCTGCAACTACAGTGGATACAGCAGGTGCAACTGTAGATGCAACTACAGACACAACCGCTGTTGCAGTGCAGAAGCAGCGGCCCTGTGCCGATTCGGACACTTCAGGGCCCGTTTGGTTAGGCCTCTGATGCAAAAAAAAAGTCACCAACAATTTTGTGGGGCCACCCAGGCCCTCGAAAACGGCCTGGGCACCCCCCCCCAAAAAAAATGAATTCCAGGAATCGGGCCTGTTCAGACCCACTGGACCGGGCACCAGACACAGACATCCAGACACGGAATGTCTGGTCGGGATCCGACCGTCCGGTTGGCAACCATTTCATACTTTTGTCCTTGTCAGTCTGCTCAATCTTCTATTCCTCTAAGCTACTGTTCACCCCTGGGGCGGGGTCAACCTCTTGCTCCTGTACGCATTTGTCATCTCACATCAGCTCTTCACACTTATCCTTCGAAAGAGCACCAGCATAGTCCCTTCCTATGTCTATTGCATTAGCTCTAGTGTCTATTTCAGCATCTTGCCCCAGGGTTCCTTCCCTGATAATTTACACCAGCGAAGTCAATTCGGCCGGTATTCCTTGTCCAGCGCGAACACTACGCATTGGCAACAATTGCTTCTCATGCCCCACTCTTCAGTTTTCTCTCTTGTGGCATTTCCGCAATAAGGGATTGACAGATCTTCGTGTGTGGGAGTGCGCATCAGCTGGATCTGCATTTTCCCTGTGTGGCTGTCTCTTCTTTTGTACCCCAAGATTTGGAAGTGCCCTTTGTGAATTGCCACTGCAATGTTCTGAGTCTTCTGACCCAACTTTGGGCAATGCGAACGATATATCCATAGCTACATGCCATTCTTTGGATTCTTCATGAAGTGCGTGGCCACCAAAGAGTTCTCCTCACTGCTTTCATTGTTTCAAAAATGTGGGGGGTCCTTAGCCAATTGCAGGTAATGTGAACTCTGGGGCATAAGTCTTATCGAGCTTTTGGAGCTGCTCTGCCAGAGCTCCTATGACTGCTCTGCCCTGTACATATGATCTTCTTGGGTGGGATCATATTCTCTGCGCTTGTGGCAGCGGTATTCCCTTTACAAGCACTCTGCAAAAGTTAGGCGAACACAATTAGGAAGTTCCGACTCGGAAGCTGCCTCAGAAGTCAATCATGCTTCAGCCATAATGTCAATATCCTTTACTGGACACTTTCCCCACCTTCCCCTTCCGCCACCTCAGTGGCAGTTCCTTAAGAAGCACACTGCAGCTGACACCATTTGACAGTTCGGACATAGAAACTGACTCAAAAATCAACTGCGCTACCTACGGTCTATCGCTCCCCACCCCATGCCCCCCCCAGGAAACGATTCCCAGAACTCAATGTCAGGCCGAGATAAAACAGCTCATTCATTCGGTAACCATAACTAAACACCCATCATGAAGCTGCATGCAGAGAGAGTGTGACAGTTCCTCGGCCTTAAGATTGACAACTTCCATCAAGCTTTGGTCTTTCGAGTTTTCCAGGTCGTTATTTTGACAGTGCAAAACACAGCAGCATAGGTCTTTATCACTCACATGTGTACTCTGCTTATGTCAGTTCCTGATGGCACACCAAGTTGAGACCCCCCGTCACGAAGAACAGACAGCATCACTGCAAAGGCTGAAAATTGGGGTTGGTGCTCCCATGTCCGAATGCCTGGAACTGCAGATTCATATGCATTGATGCATGCAACACTTCGCCGGAGCATTGCCATCCCTTTGCGCACCTCTCGATAAACTGCACTCCCATCACTATGCCGAAGAGGCTCAACATGAGCTGGCGGCACTCCTTCCACTGCACCCATGCTGTAACGAGATGTCCGTGGAGCAAGAGGCTGCATACCCGCTCTGCCTGACTGGCTTCCTGATGACCTATCGCCTTCATGGTGCGGTGGTGCAGACATGGGCCGAGCAAGAATGTCAACACCCTGTCCACATATTCTCCCAGAGCTGTCCGCTCTGCTGGGGCTCAACTCATATGCTGCTGCTGAAAGCTCCTCGGCATTGATATTGCGGGGAAGAAAAAGCGGGTGCTCCATTCTGGTCATCCAAACAAGCATCCACCATTCCCAGTTTACATGGTCATCTCGTCTCTTCATACACTCTATGCCACATACCCTCTTCCTGCCCCATCCTCTCTCTCTCTCTCTCTCTCTCTCTCTCTCTCTCTCTCTCTCTCTCTCTCTCTCTCTCTCTCTCTCTCTC